GATGGGGGGGGGAAGCTTGGGAAGGAACTCCGGAGTGACCAAAAAAAAAGTTGTCCAATAATTACAAGTGTGCAAGTGTGCAATACCGGTATCCGTACTGCGTACCTATGCAATGTCCAAGGTCCGGACGCTTGCTCCAGAAGGAGTGAGGTGTGGTCCAGTTGGTGTCCACGTCTACGTCCACACTTCACGTCTCACGGCCCGGCTTGACAAGCGTACCCGTAGTCTTGATGCCGTCTCCATTTGAGAGCCGACAGATGCAGCTAGACATGGAGCGAAATCCAGATTTGCGCGTCCAAAGAGGGACAGCAAATGGATAATGGACAGGTAGGTACACTAGCATAGTACGGACGGGTGCGCAAATTGAGGTGCAGCATAACGGCAGGACCCATGTCGAGATTTGCGTGTGGATTCGTACATTTGCATAAGAGGCCTGCTAACAAGCCAGGTAGACATGCTGGTCGGCAGATAACCGGCAGCGAGTTCGTCGATGACGTTGCCGTGTTTCGAGAGTGGGAAACATGAGTGCGGCGGATTGAGATTGCGACCGGGGGCTTGGTTGACCAGGAAAATGGAGTAAGAAAAAACAAGACTGGCCAAGGAGAGGGGCTTCAGCGTCCTGGCCTCGAAACTGCGAGATAACGAACGTTGAAACTCTGATTGACAGATCAACGTACTCTGTGCCTACTGCGTACGCGCTTGATGTCCAACTAGTAGCTACCTAGGTACTCGAGGGGATGTGGATGCCTACGCAGTAGGTAGATGGCCATGCTATTTCTCCTTGCTGATCCCGCTCAATTCCATGCGTCTTCCATCATGTCGTTCTCGGTGTCCGTACAAAGTATGCGTACAGCTGTCGCATCGCATTCAAGTTTCTCGCATCCACATTGATAAAGGCCCAGCCAGCGGAAGTGGGGGCGACTTCCAATGAGATTTGTGTATGGAGGCTAGCGTCATGGTCTTCGTCAACACCACGCAAACAAGTGCGGCTAGCAAGAAACCACTAGTACCTACGGAGTACATACAGCCTACAGCTTGAGGTACCCAAGTTAATAGGTGTCTGTACTTTTACGCCAGGTTCCCGAATCTGATAGTGGCTGATTATCAGCAGGCGCAAGGCTGTGGCTGTAGCGGTTCCGCTGCCTTCCCACCTTCCACCTAGGTATCTGCATGGATGATGACAGGGTAGTCAGCCAGGCCCGGGCGGCAAGGACCGGGGGCTGAGGCATGGACGCCGAACCGGTGGATCCACCTGTCGAAATGGAAAGGTGTGATCGAGATGAGGAATTCAGTCACCACCACTCACCAGTCACCACCATCGGCTTCGCGACATACCATGCTGCACACCTCTAGGCTCTAGCACGCAAGCACGGCAAGGTACGAATGGGCGGCCACTGCAAGCTAACGTATCCAAATCTTATCTTGGCTCGGTGGTGGATGCCTTGTTCGACTTAGTTGGAGTTATAACAGTGTTTTTCTCGATCCGTACCTTGGGTGCTTGGCAGCTCTTATTCTCAATAACAGGATAAGGTGCAGCGTTTGTGTCTATATCTCGGTGGCCGCATGTCCGTTGCCCGCCGACCAACATGGTACTCCAGACTTTGCGTGACGCCCTCTGTAGTGTAACTGTTCCATTCACCTTCCTTGTTCGCAGACTCAGTCGCCTAGCAGCCAGTAAGGAGAATACTGGTTGCTTCTGCAGTCCTGGCAAGAACATACGGCTCCGTTCTGTATCGGCGGGACCTCTTCTTCCCCTTCATGCACCCCAATTCGGTTGGAACGATGGCAAAAATCAACGGTTATGGTTGGTGGCGGCTTCGGGTACCTGACAACACCAACCTACTAGCCGTGCCGATTGCCATTGACTGTCGATTCCAACTCACGTCACCCGCAAGCCCACTGTGTGGCCCATTGGTTTTATTTTTGGCCAAAGTGGGCGGCGCGGGAAAGTAGAGAGGGAGAGCGGCCGTGCTATAGTAGTTGATTCTCCGATACTAAGAAACCGGTTAAGAGTCTCTCCTATTTGTCTAAAATATCTTGGAATTATCCCCCTATCAGGTGCATGCTGCAGCTAGACTGCTTCCTCCCTGCATGTTATGCACGTCTGCATAGTCGTATCGCCCAGGGCACTTTCTCATCCATGGATAGCTTCCACATCTAGGTATCCGTACTCAGTATTTATGTGTAATTGCTTGGCGACGAGTATCCGTTTATCCATATTCTGCTCTCGGTATCCGTATGATGCATAAAAGTCACATGCAACTGGGAAGTGTCCTTGTTTGGTGGATAATCGCATATAGAGGTCCGACTATCCATCTTAGTTGTAAAACGATAGAGTAATTACGTATCCGTCCTGGATTACGGAGTACACCTGCCTCGATCTCCAATTATCTCCACCAACAGGAAGACATACCATACGGAATCAGGTCCGTCGGACAATCGTATTCTCATGATCGGCAGACGGCGTGACGGCGTGCTGCCGTATGGGCATTCTGCCTCCTGACCCTGCAAGCATGAGAAGGCCATGTGCGTTTTCGGTCGCCAATGGCAGCATCCACCAAAGACCATGGTGCCCTTGACGATGTTTACCATCAAGACCGACGTATGTTCTTGATGCTTTCTGCCGGTAGACTACAAGTTTCAAAGGTACTGGGAATTTGAATAGAATGTTGGCTAATGTGGGTCCAGGCAACAGTCTCGGTCGGAGAGAAGGAAACGCGGATGAGCTGAGACGGGCTTCTGGCGGTTGCTTTTCAGTGACATTCAACTCGCCCTCCAAGACTAGATAAGTTGCTCATTTACACCTCGCGAGGGGCGCTCATTGGTCCCTCGAGGCTCGAACAACCAACTGCGCATGTCTCCAGATGGTGTCGTAAACTGGGTGGCAGGGAGAGAGATTGATGAGCCTTTGCGTAGGTTGCAGAGTGAACTAACTCACTTCGCTAGCTTGCGCGTGGGTAGGCGCCCAAGGAGCTGTTAGCATCGACAGGGGTCTTAATTGATTTTTCCTTCAAGCCCCTGGACTCCGAGAGACTGAGGGAAATGACCACCTACTTTGACCATAGGCACCTTACGAATAAGGTAGAGGATGCCCTCTTCGGCACATGGGCATCTCTCTGGCAGGTACGACCCGCACGTATGATTGGTAGATGAGCGCCCTGCCAACGGTATCCAAAAGGAATCTCACGGGCTGGAATGCTGGACAGTGTCACGCCCATACAAGGTCTGGAACGCATTGACGTTTCCAGTGACATCGATTGCAATGGGCACGGCTTGCGGACACTCACTCTTACGGTCAACAGGATACATCGAATCTCAAGTCCGCCGTAGTGCTCTTACATCAGTACGGATCAACAGGAGACGGAGTAAGTTTTTGAGAGTAGTGTGGCGCATACTTGCCGTCTCGTTCAGTCAAGCCTTTGACGGTGATTGCGCGCTACGACGCACATGACCAATGCGTAAAAAAATAAAGATAAAAATAAAAAAAAAGTTTGCAGCACAACAGCATTGGAACGAGCTCTTCGATGAGAGGGGGGGGGGGGGGGGGAAGAAACAAAAAGCGAGCATCAGGCAAGCCTCGAGGTACGAGAAGCATGAGGTTGGCAACGAGGACGAAAGATTCTTTGGTCCCGCCCTCGCCTCAGTTGCCGTGACAAGTGCAAGTTAGATGAGCAAACCCGCTGGTTGGGGGAGCTGGATCCGTTTTTGGTAAGGCGTTTCTGATCCGCGCCGTCGCTTCTGCCCGGGCCTCGACGAGGTTTACCTTAGTTGCTTGGGAAGTCTGAGAAACGCAGTATGTGAGTTGAGCATGACCTCCCCTCTGAAGAAGCCCACACCTCACTGGGGCTGGTCCTAAAAGCGCATAGTGGAGGCTATCGGCACTCAGCTTGACGGGGTCCGGCGCTTGCCAAATGCGCACCATCAAAAGCCTTTCCCTTGCCTGAAGATCAAGATCGAATGCAAGTAAGGTATCAAGAGCAAGATGGGAGTGAAATATCTACATACTCCATAAGGCGCCTTACCTGCGCTTATCTTGAGGTACCTTAGGATAGGAACGGGAAGGTCCGGGCGAGCTCTCGAAACAGGACAGTGGATGATACCTTACAGAGCAAAAGTCGGGTGATGGCAGGTAAAAGGTAGAGCCTTGAGGGGACAATTGGCGCTTCAGGTCGTTTCCACGTCAATGGGACGGGAAACCTGCCCGGACTGAGGTGAAGACTCAGAGGGGCCCAGCGGCAGGTGGCCCCGGAGTCTGGTTGGGTCCAGTGGACTGTAGGTGAATTTTGCTTCCCGTCTGGGTCCTCCATCCGCTGAGACCGGGCCACTCACTGCGCTACGTTTCCCAGCTGACCAGGTGGAAACACCACTCAATCTGAACTTTCCTCTTTCTCCCCGTTCAGCCAGGTCCCTTCGTTGTCACTCTCCTCCACAGCAAAATCTCGACAACGCAGTGCATGACTTCGATTTGGGACAACTTCCTGCTCCTTACCTCGATTATACCTTGAAAACACACACATACACCCCTCTATTCCTTTGTGGTTGTATACACTCCCTCCTCCCACGCATTCCAGAAGAACAATCCAACCCCTCATCCACCATTCCTTTGACCGTTGGTTGCTACGGGCTTCTCAAGGTCTCACCCCCCCCCCCCCCCCCCCCCCCCCCCCTCCCCCCCCCCCCCGCCCCCTCCCCCCCCCCCACCCCCCCCCCCCCCCCCCCCCCAAAAAAAACCCCCCCCCCCCCCCCCCCTCCCTTTCCCCTTGGGTTCCACCGGCTTCCCCAAGCCCCCCCCCCCCCCCCCCCCCCCAATCCTCAAGGTCAACGATCGGGCCCTTGGACTGGACTCCCGTCACCCAGTATCCTCCTTTCCCCCGCTTTCACTATAGCAGGTGACAGCCGACGGTTACGACGCTTCACTTTCCTACTCAGATCGCATTGACTAGAGACGACGGGCCTGTTCCTCTCCAGCAACAGCATCAACACAATCCACGGGATACTGCATGCCCTACCTCCAAGCCATGTCTTCTGTGTGGAAGCAACAACCTGAAGAGGTGGCGGACAAGGTCTTGAAGAGGGTGGAAGTGAGCAAGGTATGTTGACAAAGGGCCATAGCCAAGACCACAACGCACCTCACAAAGCAGAATGTCCCTGATCCTGACAATCTTACAGATAGCCCGAAGACTGCAGAACCGACTCGCGCTCGCCCAATTCAAAACCAAGCATGGCTGGGAAGACCTAACACTCGATACCATCGAACCAAAGTATGAGGAGGAACTGCGACGGAAGCGTTTAACCGAGGGAGACCTCCTGTCCGACTCCTCTTCGAGCGCCTCCGACCTTCCATATCCCACGAGAGCCCTTATGAGCTCTCCTCTGAAAGCTCCCCTCTTTTCCGACGCCATCGGCTCCAGCAACGGGAGCACCGGCCATCGCAAGCGCACCTACATGGCATCTTTCGACTGTCCATCGTCTAGCCCAAGCAAACGCTATCGCTCGTCCCCTACTCCCATCAAGTCGCTGCACGGCCATACTTCGTGGAAAGAAAGTCATCAGCTAGCGCAATCGTCTCCGATTAAGCCCAGAAGGCAACAACACTTCACCACATCTACTGGCCCCGATGTTTCATTCTTTCAGGGGGCTCGAAGACTAGCAGACGACCTGGTGTCGCCAAACTTTGCGGCAGCCTCGGATGATGAAGACGATCTCTTGCCCGTACAGTCATTCAGGGCCACGAATATTCGGTCTTCACCCCCTACAACACCACCAATGCGCAATCGAATGTTGCCCAATCGCCGTACCAAGGACCAAGGCGCCAACGGTGAACCCGTCAAATCCGGCCAAGAAGGCGCCGACCTTCTGCTGTACCTGGCTGCCTCTCCGTCACCCGCCGTTCCATCTACCAAGACAAGGATGGAGCCTCCTTCGACGCCTCCTTCCAAGGTCAGTCGAGATATGACTTTGCCTTCTTCACACATGACCACCCCAGGTGGCGGCAACATGTTCCCCAACACGCCCGGGCAAGGTTTCGACTTCGCAGATTTTGTCAACATCACGCCTAGTCCTGCTCAAAAGGCATGGAAGACACCCGTCGCTCTCTCCTCGGCGAGGACTCCCGTCAGTCTGGCTAGAAGACGATTGACGTTTGACGAACCCCTGGCTTGATGAGAGATGTCTAACAGATGCGTCTGGTGGCTCTCTCCTCGTCGTCATTATCACCAATGCTATACTTTTGAATGATACCAAACGCTGGCTATGATGGCACGGCATAACCTACGCAAAAAGCGGAGATACTACCCCCTCTTATTCCGCAATTACTTTCACGAGGGACGAGAACAGCTTCATCGTGAGCAACGCCGCCATTCCCTCGACAAGGAGACGGTACTACGAAAACATTTCTTTCCAGCCATTGATCTTCATTTTATGCGTGGGGCTACGCAAGGAACCAGAGGCGTTGAGAGCGCCAAATCGGAATGGGTGTGAGGCACTTGTATGTTCCCGGCTCAGCAAATGCTTCACATGTAGAAGCTTGTTTTTTTCTGTTTCTCTTTGACCAATCCTTTTTGTCACTTCATCGTTTGATTAGGAAAGGATCCAAAAGGCCCCCAGTTGGGTCTCGTGGTCCGTGTGGCATTCAACGCGTCGCTGGTACGCGACGCGTTGAAATTCGGAAGAGTTGCGCGTGAGGCGCGCGTGAGGCGCGTCTCGATTTTAATGGACAAGCAGCCAATCAAAACGTATTTCAGCCCCATACCGGCAAGGTCTCCTTCATCGCGCGTGCCCGTGTAACGTCAAACGATATAGCAATGCACACAACCTGCATCCAAGCTCTAAACATCGGTCGTGTCTCTAAGGTAGCGAGGAGGTTCCGTGCGGTTCATGCTGGCTTGGAGCTGAAAGATTTGTCAACTGCGTATCTCTCCTAACGATGTATGAAGGTGTCCTGCAATCGTAAGGAAACACGGGCTGAAATGGTTACATATAGTCATAGGCAGGGCACAAACCCCCAGTGCTCCCTATGATCTCCTCGTCGTCTGGTTATCACTCGGGCGCTTTTAGGGATTCATTTAAGGGTTTATTCTTCTTCTATATTTTCAGAAAGACGTTATGTCTGCTTTCCCATGAAATCAAGGATTCCTCGTTGGACGCCTGTTGGGCTTGGCTCTTCAGCACAAACATCTGGATCCAAATCGAACGTTCGTCTTAGATAGTCCCTCGTCGTCGGACCGATCGTTGCAATGAACGTTTTACGTCCATCGAGTCCGTCCTTCTTGACCTTCCCTGTGGACTCGTCCAGCATCCCCAGCCCGCGCAACATCCCTTCGCAACCAGTCGGGGAGAAGACAACTACCCACCGCATCGGCAGGCCCTCAGTATCTTTCAGGTGTTTCTCAAAGTCAAGAGGAAAAGACTCCATGACACCCGTGCCGTAGACCACGACCTCGTCCACGTGGATTCTTTTCTCGCTGGGCAAAGCGGTGTTCATGAGGGTTTTCGGGATGATGTCCCGCCTCTGCTCGCCAACGAGGAAGAGCAGCGGTGGCTTCGTCTGCCGGTCTTGGTACCATCGGCCATAGTGGTCCAAAATGTACTTGGCCAAGGCATCGCCATTGCCCGTGTGCTCGCCGAATATTTGCAACGGGGCGTGCTGTGAGACGGACTGGAGAGCTCGTGTGGTAGCCGGGCCAACGCTGTAGACTGGTATATTTTGGAGATGAGGCCACTCTTTTTCAGTGCCTGTCAATCCGGTTAGCTCTGCTTTGTTACGGTCGAGAGGCTTGAGTTTAAGCTCTTGATGCGGGTGCGAATCCGACGGACCCTTCTTCTCATCCACCAGGCTGGCAAACGCCTCGACCGCTCGCTGCGAGGTAAAAATGAGACCGCCGTAAGAGGCGTCGTTGCCAGCATTAATCTCACGTTGCTGCAAGACATGCCTGACCGTCGCCATGCCCTGTTTCTGAAAGGTGTGGTGCAGGACCGGGACAAAAGCTGGTTCGAAGGCACACCCGTCAAATTCACCTGAGAGTAAGTCCTCGTACGAGTCGCCCGGAGTTGACTTTGTCTTGAGCAGCAGGACAGGCACCTTGACTGCCAAAGCAAATGAGGGGTTCTGAGCCATGGCAAATGTCTTTGCGGCCCGCTGTGTCGTGATGAGTAAAGCGAATGAATTAAACTATCAGACGTCTCAAAGTCAATTGCTGGAGTATCAAATCAACGGTGACGACTTCCCGCTCAGCTGCGCACTTTGCGGTTTGACTTGGCCGTCATAATGGTTATCGCACTGGACGACGGGACGGTGCCCCGCCGCGGGCAATTCGGTGAATTTTGGCAGGCGGAGCTGGCTTGATGTAGAGTTACGTACTGTCTTAGGTAAGTCGGTGCCATTTCACTTACACGAATCTCCTCGACCGACTCAGCTTCTTCGCCGTTGTCAACTCCGACGCGGAACACAAGTTCAAAGCATCGAGGTCACTAATCTGACGAAGCACCGCAGAAGTGAAGTACTGGACGAGTTCTTCGTATCAGACATGCGAGACAACAGTAAAGTTCATCGAATTTCTCGCTCGGGATATATAAAGGTGAGGGGTTTGGAGAATACCAGACACATGGCCTGCTCCCGAGTCTCAATGAGTAGAGAGAGCACACGATTGCTAGAACCAAGTGGAACTACTCGCACCTTATTACGGATACATCTGCAAGGACCCCCGGGTCGTAGATGCACTTTGACGGTCCGAAAAGACAGCTGCCAGGTGGACAAATGGGTTGACCTTGAATGACTGCCATGCGGCTCAGGGACCAGAAACACCCCACCTCATCTTTTCGGTACCTTGCGGATAGCGTGGAATCGATTAAGCAGCGGATCCCCCGGTAAGGCGCCGATTACAGCATCCGTTAACCAGAGACTCCCGCCTCACACCACACCAATGCAGCACGATAGACCAGGCCGGATCCCAATTACGGGTTCTGGATACGGAGTACGTCGAAGGTCTACCGGTGCTTGCCGACGGGAGCCGGCCACCCTTGGTTGGACCGGGCATTATCACTTTGGAATTTCAGGTCGAGAATAGATAGTGCTTTGCGATCCTTGTACCTTGAGGTACCTTACCTTACCTGACCTCTAGTGGCCTTGGTGGGTTATCGATAACGGTCCGCCATCGGCATCCTTTCCTTGAGGTACTGACGAGGCTCTTGAGCTTACAAATTCCTCCTAACCAAAATTCGAACACTGTCCGACATCGCGCGCACTTGGGCAGATCACCCCATTCAAAGTCCCTTGTCGCATCCATTCTCTTTCTATAGGGCCCGTCGATATTAGTCTCGGTTCTCGCGACAAGGGCGAAACTCTCGCGCAGTATTATCGCCATGGCCGACGCCGAGCGAGACCCTCAATTAAGCAGCGTCACAGCCCCCGCGGCGACAGCGGCAGCTGAGCAGCCCAAGCCTTTACCAAAGGGAATGGTCTTGGGCCCAGATGGCAAACCGTAAGTTCCCATAACTTCCTTGACGGTGATCTTTCGGCGGTGGTTCAATCCGTCGGTGCTTCCTCACCGGAGATCCAGCTGACATGCGTCATCTTCAGATGTCGGTCTTGCTCGTCGAAGAGCGCTTTTTCGAGCTGGGCTTCTCAGATGAACGGCTCAGTCAGAAAACCAACTCCGGTGGCCTCGACGCCTGTCGACGACTGCCCCCCGGATGTCGAGGCCCTTGGACGAGGCACTTGGCAACTTCTACACTCGATCGCAGCAACGTACCCCGAAAAGCCCTCCCCTAGCCAGAAAGACGACCTTCGAGGTTTCATGAGACTGTTTTCCAAACTTTACCCTTGCTGGGTGTGCGCCGAAGATTTCCAATCGTACATACAAAAAGAACGGATTCGAGTGGAGGGGCGGAGCGAGTTTGGAAACTGGCTGTGCGAGGCGCACAACGAGGTCAATCGGAAGCTGGGCAAAAAGGAGTTTGACTGCAGCAAATGGGAAGAGCGATGGCGGACGGGTTGGAAAGACGGCCGTTGCGATTGAAAGCGACGCGGTTCGAGCTGTATAAATGTGTACGAAATAAAATGACCAACGGCGACGGGCACACGTGGTAGTATCGCGAGAAAAGCCACGGTCGTTGGACTTTGATAGACGATGCTACTCTTCCAGCGGCAGCAGAGCAAGACAGCATGCTGAACCGCATGTAGAATACCTACCATACCCTCCACCTAGAATAATAGTGAAACAAGCGGACTACATTTCTGTAAAGTTTGGTTCGGATTGTATTGCATGTAAGCATTTACTGCTTACCAAGGGTTGGGCGGCGTTGCTTGTAGCTGGTTGAGGTGAAGAATGACGAATTCCTATCTTTGTAGACCCTTATGCATGCAGATCTTTGTCATGCTTTTCCGATTGGCCATTGCAGATCCCCAGAACATGATCTGATATTTGCAGGATTCTGTCTAGGCAGGCGAATGGGCCAGTGACAGAGCTGAACTGTCGAGTTGATGTTTGACCAAGTATTTCGTCTGGAGAACTTGTCCCAAAACTAAGAGAAGAGGTCAGTCGTTCTCTTCGGTCGTCCTCAGGTTCGGGGCTGAGGTCCAAGCGATTTGTCCGAACGGCATCGCGAGATAATTCGGTCTTCGAGCGGCGGCCCGAAGTCGAGCGTAGCGGGCCCCGGGCCCGGCTCCGCAGCTGACAGGCGCACGATGCTCAATGGTACTTCCATTGTGTTTTATTTGGGCCGTTGCGCCGTAGCAGGGCCGATAGGCTGGGGCCAACATCAGATCATGCCGAATGGTGCGCCGCTCCCCTTTCCCCCCAGTTTGCGCACGACAACGACAGGAAGGGGCGGTCAGGGAAACCCGGAAGCGAAGCAATAACCCCCCAATGGAATTGTCTGAGTCGCTCTAGTGCATTGCCGCTGATCCTTGAGGTTCCAAGCTCATGTTATGGTCTTATGTTGGCTCAAAGCAGGATGCGAAGGTTACAAGTTTGGCTAAATTGTGAATTCGCACGGACAAGGAGCGTGGGAGGGTGGGAAACAACAGGGCACGCCGCAGTTTCCCGACGGGGTGGATGCAGATCCCACGCTGTCAACGGTTGCGTACCTTGCCAAGTTGCCAGCCGGGAAGCGGGCTTCCATTGCCTCACACTCACAGGCAGGCAGGGACAAGGGTTAGTTAGGTTGGTTGGTCCTGACGTGTTCTAGGCCTTATGCTGCCCAGCACTGTCACTTTTCCTTCCTGCACTCTCTCCCAGAGGACCCAAAATCCACAAACCACGTACGGAAACGGATGCTCAGGACGGATACGTTCGCTTTCTTCCCTGTTCTGCCCTGAACGCGAGCAACTTTATTATCGTCCCATTCTGTTGTCTCACTATCAGTAGAATGTTGCCTTACGTCGAACAGTGACAAGGTACCAGAATAAATCTTTTTTTTCCCTCAGATATCTGGGACCTCACCTCACCTCACCTCCGGAACCCACCGGCCCAGCCCGGCTTGAGCCCGGTGTATTGGTGACCGCAACCTCCTGTGGCGTGTTCCATTACATCACTCACTGTTGACTGTATCTCCTTACTCGGTGCAATGCATCCATTGTCTGCTCGCCCTCTACTCTATTCTGAGCCGCACCAAGATGGGTAACCACGCTACTATCTCGCGTCTTTTCCCGTCTGGTGCCAGGACCCCCATCTTGGTCCCCTTTCACCCAAATCTTGATCGAACCCGTCGCATGCCGAGACCCGGTACCCACTGCCTGCGCTTCAGCCGCCTCGCTGGCTCGTAGTATCTTGTCACTTATACGAAAATGGAGCTACATGAGCTGTCGCCCATCGCCGATGGCCCTGTCGTTTCAATCTGCAATGGCCAGTGGTCTGACTTGACGATCCTGGCCGACCCATGCAATGATGCCGAGACTCGAGTGAGTCCAATTCCGACTGGGACCATCAACAACATCGCCATCTCCGCAGGTTGTTGACTCTGATATAAGTCTATACGCCTCTGGCCTTGACTGGGACCCTTTTTCTCCTTCTTCATTCCAGATCTACACAGACGAACACTTCTACAACATACACTCGAGGTAGCATCCAAAGCTACCCCCTTCTACACCATCAGCTGCTCACACACATATCCGATCATGGCTGATATCAGAACCCAAGGGCTTATAGAGCCTGTCGACGTCGTCGAATACCTCTTCAGGAGACTCCATGAGGTCGGTGTCCGATCCGTTCACGGCCTTCCCGGTGACTTCAACCTCGTTGCCCTCGACTATCTTCCCCAGTGCGGCCTGAAATGGGTTGGTAATGTCAACGAGCTCAACGCCGGTCAGTATCCCTACAACCTATCAACTTGCCAAGTAAGCTTCGATCGACGAACTGACATTCTTCAAGGCTACGCTGCCGATGGTTACGCCCGTGTCAAGGGCATCTCTGCCATCATCACTACATTCGGTGTTGGCGAGCTCTCCGCCATCAACGCTCTCGCCGGTGCCTACTCAGAACACATTCCCGTCGTACACATTGTCGGTTGCCCCTCTACGATCTCTCAGAAGAACGGCATGCTCCTGCACCACACCCTTGGCAACGGCGACTTCAACGTCTTCTCCAACATGAGTTCTCAAATTTCATGCGATGTTGCGCGCCTCAACAACCCCGCCGAGATTGCCAACCAGATCGATCATGCTCTCCGAGAGTGCTGGATCCGCAGTCGCCCCGTCTACATTATGCTCCCCACCGACATGGTCCAGAAGAAGATCGAGGGCCAGCGCCTGAACAAGCCCATCGACCTCGAGGAGGCCATCAACGACCCTGACAGAGAGGACTACGTTGTCGACGTCGTCCTCAAGTCCCTTCATGCCGCCAAGAAGCCCGTCATGCTGATTGACGCCTGCGCTATCCGCCACCGCGTCCTCCCCGAGGTTCATGCACTCCTTGAGAAGACAAAGATTCCTGTCTTCGTAACGCCCATGGGAAAGGGTGCCGTCAACGAATCTCACCCCAACTACGGCGGTGTTTATGCCGGTACCGCTTCGCAACCCGATGTTGGTGAGCGACTCGAGTCCTCAGACTTGATCTTGTCCATTGGTGGTCTCAAGGTAAATTGCCTCGTCGCTCCTAGAAGTCCGAAGACAGCTCATTAAAATTCTTGCAGAGCGATTTCAACACCGCTGGATTCTCTTACAGAACATCGCAGCTGAACACCATCGACTTCCACAGCACACACATGAGAGTCAGATACTCTGAATACCCTGGCATCACCATGCGCGGAGTCCTTCGCAAGGTCACTGAGCGTCTTGACTTGAGCCAGCTTTCCGTCGTCACATCACCCGAGGTCATCAACAGAGTGCCCAGCCCCAACTCGGACCCCTCGCAAACCATTACCCAGGCTTACTTATGGCCTCGTGTTGGTAACTACCTTCGCGAGAATGACATCGTTGTCACCGAGACCGGAACGGCCAACTTCGGTATCTGGGACACCAAATTCCCTGCTGGGGTCACAGCTTTGAGTCAGGTCTTCTGGGGAAGTATCGGTTGGTCTGTCGGTGCTGCCCAAGGTGCTGCTCTCGCAGCCAAGGATGCGGGAGAGGACCGCAGGACAATTCTCTTCGTCGGCGACGGATCATTCCAACTTACGGCCCAGGAGGTCACTACCATGTTGCGCCACGGCTTGAAGACGACAATGTGAGTCCAACTCCCCTTCTTCCTTTGCACCGACTCCAAAAATCTCACGCTAACGTTGCATCATAGCTTCGTCATCTGCAACGATGGATACACCATCGAGCGCTTCATCCACGGCATGGAGGCCGAGTACAACGACATTGTCCAGTGGCAGTACAAGGAACTTGCGACAGTGTTCGGCGGTACCGAGCAGACAGCCAAGAAATTCGTCGTCAAGACAAAGGATGAACTTGAGAAGCTCCTGACTGACCAGGAGTTCAACAACCCCACAACACTACAGTTTGTCGAGCTCTACCTCCCCAAGGAGGATGCGCCAAGAGCATTGATCATGACTGCTGAGGCCAGCGCTAGAAACAACGCCAAGGTCGAGTAAAGAGACGACAGCAATTCTTTTTTCATGGAAGATGGTTTGATTCCCTCGGCGCAGGAAATGGTTTTCTGGCGCATGGCTAGACGTAATTGGTTGCTTCTGTGATTATCCTTGGCTTTAGGTTATTGGTTGGTAAAACGTAGTGAGACGACTACGGCTAGATTACATATGAACTATATCGGTATTTCATTATTCTCCTGCACCGGATATTATTGATATGAGACGACGGCCTACCGAGTGATAACTTGCGGACAATAGACACACTCGCACACTTTAGCACACGGTCTTCGTCTTTCAAGCCATCAACAGGCCTCAGCCGTGTCATGGCTCAAGTATTCACAATAACCAAAAGGAAAATGTGAAAGAAGGCTCTTTGTATCGGAGAGTAGTTTGAAGACGACCGCGGCGTAAATTACATGAGAGGAATACCTTGGCATAAGTGCGTTTTCAGTCAGCGCTCCAAGGTTGAGCAGAATTATGGCAGTTCTGTGTCTTCATTGATATTTTGACCTGTCTCGTCAAGTGGAATTGAGCTGTACCTAGCAACTAAATGACAGGCGCATCGTCTTTCTCCCTCCGCTGTGTCTCTAGTACTCACAAGGAGGCAAGCTGAAGTTTAAGCAACTAGATAAATATTCAATTGCCATAGTTCCACGCAGCTGGACTTTGACTTCCCTGCAAGTCGTCCAGCATGAGATCCGGCACATTCAATTCATGCAATTGATAACATCAGCTGACGTTCCCTTGCATAAGACTTGACTTAAAGAATCGTGGGATCAAGGTCTAGAAATCGTAACCGAATCGTGTTTTGTTTGTCAGGTTTTAATTCTCAGAACGCAAATTGGCATCGTTGAAGGCCAATCGCTTCAACGATAGAGCTTTCATATCCGACCCGTTTAAAAACAAGCCCTACGATGTCAATTGAGAAGCTTCGATTAAGCACCATCGAACTGATGGCTGTTGACGATGGCTGGTTGTTGGGAAGTGACCCTCAGGCTGCAATAAGACGCAGAAAGTATAGCGGGTCCAGCTCGTTTGATTTCTTGCCTTTGGGCGGTGTGGACTTTTTACCTCTTCTAGCTATCTTCAGTGCAGCACACCAAGCTTCCATTCTCTCTCAGCAATCCCACAAGGCACAATTTCCATACTCACAGCCCACAAGGGCTTCGGCGCAGCATCCCAGAAGATTTCAGAGCTGCAGCTCGCGAAGCTCCTACAAAATGACAGATGGGAAGAGGAAACAGTCGGGTGGCGGTGGTGGCCATCCCGCTAAGAGAAGCAAGGTAGGTTTTCATCTGATTTCTGTACATTGCACTACGCAGTTAATTCCTCCCGACCCTGCCTGAACAATCTTATGAGAAGACATACTATTCTTCAGTATAAGTTCATGGCTGATGAGAAAGTAGGGTGGGCAAGGCTCCGGCAAATGGCAGACGCCGCAACACAAGGCGAAGGTCGCCAGTCTTCAGGACAAGGGCGTCGCCCTCGGGGTTGGCGACAAGGGTATCTGGGTCACATTTGCCAGAGGCATGGACGGAAAGTCCATTAGCGAATTCAGCATACTATGTGACGAGGTTTGTTGATTCTGCCATCATTTCGCATTTACGCTCACTCATACGACTACGCCTCAGTACGCAAAGATACTCTACGGCATCGTTCCCCCCGGGGAAGAAGTTGAATCAGACGAGGAAGACGAGGACATTGAAGCGTCCATAAAGAAGGAGCTCGATGGTATCAGCGAAGTCAACAAGGGCAAGACCAAGCGTATGTTCAAGGCCATCAAGGCTGGGATCGAGTGTGTCTTCTTCATGAAGACAAGGGATCCCATCGACCCCGTGGAGCTCTGCCGTAAGATGTGCATAGACGCCAGCGTCTGCACTGATCTCAAGGAGAGGAAGACAAAGTATATCAACCGGCTGACGCCGGTCACCTCTATGGATAAGGCATCTGAGAACGGCGTGGTGCGAGTCGCTAGAAAGGCTCTGGCCGCGCATTTCGATCTCGTAGATGAGACAGCTCAGGCTGCAGAAGGCGACGCAGAGAAGGTCGAAGGAGAGAGTGATGCTCGGACTGAGAAGCCGGCCTGCACAGTACGTTCACTCATGGCAAATTTTGACTGGGTGATTCAGGCTGACATATTTGGCAGTATGCCATCAGACCTTCCATACGCAGCAACAACTCACTTGATCGCGACACGCTCATTAAGCAAATCGCCAGCGTCGTCAGCCCGCGGCACAAAGTCGATCTCACTAATGCCGACAAAGTCATACTTGTCGATGTTTTCCAGGTAAGGGATGACTAGTAGGATAGAGCTAGCGAGCATCAAACTGACTGGTCCGTAGAGTTTCTGCGGTATGAGTGTTATTGAGCGCAGTGACTGGGAGGATTTAAAGAAGCTCAACGTCAACGAACTGTACAAGGCGTCTCCTGGAGCACAGGCAAATCGCCCGGCACCAAAGGAAGGTGAAAATAAGGCAGCATGAGTAGTGCATGAGGTCGTCAAGGATACACTTGGGATCACCCATCGTCTAAGCGACGGGAGCACTTACCGTATAGCATTCGTGAAACCCCAAGCGAAATAGCCAATTGGTCTTGCGAATACCAGATGATGAGAGTTGATAAAAGGCATGATTCACTCACTTGCACCTTGACAAGCACCGTCCCCACTGCATGACAATATTATTCGACATTGGTGGGCTTTTGGCTCACTTTTGGCTCCTTCTGACGACATTGCGTAGCAAAGAAGCCGATACGCCCCCTTCAATACATTGAGAGGGTTATTTCATAGAGACCCAACGTTATACTGTGCGACTTGTGTATTCTCCTTCAGTATGGCCACTCGTCCCCCGAAGATGTTCAGAGCCGGCGGCCCGAGGTCTGGCGTTTCGATTAGTGTTGGTTGGGTAGCTTTGGTGAAGGCTGCTGGCCTTATGTACGTGACGCGCAAACCCCAAATAGCCTGCGACAATGGTCGAGCCCGGATTTTACCATACACACTGGAGTGTTCTCTAGCACAGATTTTATGCGGACTGAGCTGCTATGAGTGTTCGTCATCTCAGGGCTTCATGACGGCAATTTGATGGGAACCCGACGCTGTTTCTTGTGGGAAGTTAATCGTGGGAGGAGGAGCAGCAATGAACGACGCGGGCTCTACCAAGTACCATGATGGCCAGATATCTCTGCAACGTGATATGGGATATGGGGAAATCCATGCAAACATGGGGGCAAATGCGGTCACGTAGGTGTTGTGTTGGTGGAAAAGTAGCAGCTGAAAGCCGAGCGCTCAGGGTGGAGCGAGGTGTAAGCCGTGTGGAGAGTGCGCATCTGCAAGCATGACGGCGCTAAGCCTTATCTGTATAAATTTGACGAGTCTCCAGCATATGGAACGTTCCAAACTTCTATTTGGGACCCAGATCCGTCCCTTGGCCGCTTCCACCACATTATATCAGCTGGCAGGGGGGGCTAGTATGTTGGAGCTTGGGGTCGGCGGTCGATCCGGAAACTCAACATTGGCCATCATTGCAGACCCGGTGCATGCAAATATCAGGCCTCTGCAGCGTAGTCCTTTTGCAAGTGGACTCCGTCTGGCTGGATGAGGGGGGATTTGAAATGGTTGATGCAGAACTTCTAGATCGCCCATCTTTTACCTTACCTACTGCTAGATGGGATGCGTACCTCAGCCGGTAACTACCTTACCGGAAAGGTACCTACAGAGCTTTGAGTTCCTAGATTACCTTGGCTTACTAAGTACCTTCAATACTTCCCTTTCTGCGAAGTGTATGCCATCCGCACAATGCGACTACCTGACCGGCCAGGAGGTATGTGATTCGGTGGTCCCGTTAGAACATTCTACCTTGGCATTGAGGTGTGAGATGTAATGGCGACAGAAACCAGAGAGTAAGAAGACAGTAGTTCAAGTATGACTTGCAGCAGCATGCTTCACCAAGTCGGCTTGACGCTAGCAAAAGTTCCTGCGCTGGTGGGCTGGATCTTGGGCTTGCATTTCCGACAACTTGCGTGAGCGTCGAGGCAGGCATTGTATCTGGAGAACTTTACAGTTCAACGTGCGCGGCGTTTGTGCGAGAAAGTCAACATGGCAGATGTTTCAATGGCTCGTGGCGTGCATTCGACATACCTCATCGCGGGAAAAGGCGACGGCCAACTGAAGATCCCCAACTTGAACATAGCTACCGAATCCGTACACTGCGAAGCGACTTGGCATTTGACGACAATCCGGGGTATCAAAGCTCCCATCTCATCTTAAAATACTTTGCCTGCCCTTGGATCTTGAGGTGTTTGTTTATCCGTTGGCATGGATCTGTATCCGTCCACTGTTGTCGAGCTAAGGCACCTTGCTGTGAGAATGGAACAGTGAGATGAGATGAGAAAAGAGTGGGAGAGTGGGTGGTGGCCGCCCCGACGCTGCGGGCGGGGATCCGAGACCCACCGGTTTCGCTTAATCGCATCCAATCAACAAATTCCCGGCTCGCTTGACGATGCAGAGTCTCGCTGGGGGCTCCCTGTCAACCTCGTAGCCCCCCTCCCATCATGAGAACCCTGCGAATAGATTTCCTCCATTCATTCCACTTCTTCACCAACCTCACCTCCCCAGATCGCAGACTACCTATATCTTAATCCCTTCTTTCTTCCCACACCGCGAAAAAATGATAAGCTTGTACCTATGCTCCTGGCTCGCACACTCTGCTCCCCCTTGAACTTATTGCAGGAATATCTACCTTACTTGCCAGTGCCTGCATGAGGTGAGGTCAGGTAGCCTGTAGGTAAGCTATGCGCTTGTGGAGATCGTCAACCGCACGATCAGTCCAGACTCGACACTTATCCTCTTTCTCTTATGGGAAGTAAAAGACGTTCATCTGCAACCTCGCTTGACTTGACCCCAAGTGGCACATTCCTTCGTATGTTGTTGGCATCCTGCGTTGCAGAGCCCCTCTCTGGCCCCTGCCTGTCTTCTCCTTTACCGACATATTTTTCATCTGCACTCCGGTACCTCATCTCTCTTCTCGGCCTATGTCCGTAAGATCCATTCACAATTCTTCAGTCGCTTTTTTTGGTTCCCCCCCTCCCTCTTTCTTTCCGTCTGTCTGCTGTATGTGTATGTGCACACTTGCGTGTCAGTCTCTCACACCCACACCTACAAACGCTCATGGAGGTCCATGGGTCTTGCGCGCTTGTTCCCTCCCTGCGCACCTCATGGCCAACGTAACTTATAAGCGAAAGGTAGGTTGTTAGCAGACGGCTTATACGTTGCTTATACGTTGTCGCTGTTTAGTGTTGTCTCTCTCGCTTATTTCTCACACGCCCATTGAGCGCATTTCCCCCTTCCCACCCACTCAGCCAGTGTTGCTCCTTGTACGACGCCTCGCCCGTCACCACCGAGCCATCGCGCCTTAGTCTGTCAACCTCTTGCTCTCTCGCCTGTTGCGCCTTCTCATTAGTTCGTCTCGTGTGTTGGCTTGTTCTCGACCGATCTCGCTTGTCCTGGAACAGCTCAAGGTCATCCTCATTGCTTGGCTACCTCATCAAGCTCATGTCCTTGAGCCTGGTTTTTGCGCCGCCCGCCCATCATGTCTCGCTTCTCGCCTCGACCGCTGCAATGCAACTGCATAGCTTAGCTTACCCTGTTTCTCTCACCTGTCTTATCTTCACCTTTGAGGCGTACGAAGACACTTATGCTGGCTCAAACAGGTGCTGCCCCGACCTCTGTTCGGACGGTTGCCGTCTTTTCTTGCGAAACAAGGATTTGTGTGTGGACCAGCTTCACTCACTCCATCGTTGGCTTTGGCCTTTCCACTCAGACCTTCACACCCCTGGGCTCTCAAACACCCTCAACCTCTGCCCTGCTCATCGCCGAACATCCTTTCGCTTATGGTCGACTCATCTTTCCGTGATTTCATGCGCATACCTAGTGCCCTACCGTCATCAGCATCATCCTCCTCCTCCTCACCATCCGGCCCGGATGACATGAGCGAATAGTCCCCGTAAACCTCACTTGCCGGCTCACCTTTCGAATCCGCCTCGCTAGACACCCCGTTTCTATTGGAGTGATCTCTTGGTGTTGCCCTTGTTGGCATGAAAACGTCCAAAGTCCCCGGCCGGACCACTCCGTGTGTCCAGATTACGCCGCAACACGACCTTGCAAACCCCCACACCTTCGTCTGGGAAGCCGTAGAGCACTCGCTATATCTAGCTCCTTCGCCCAACCCCTACCACATGGCTCCTGGTCGGTGTCACCGCACTCACACCTCGACTTCACCTTGCATACCATTCGCCTGCCAGAGCGTTTCGCAAACCTGCAGCATCCCGCCCGTCACGCATCGACCTTCCATAGGGCAGAACCTGTATCACAATACAGTGTCAACGACGTCCATGTGTGCGCCGCCTCCTCCGGCAAAGCCCATACAGACCGTTATAAGCCGTTTGGTACCCCAGGCCACCGTCCAACAAGTTCAGGTGATGCCATCGGTCCATTGTCAACGCGTCTATGGAGTCAAAGTCTCCACCGGAGCGAGCTTGGTTCTCGTCGTTCCCCCGCCGCCTATGGTAAAGCTGCTGCGATCCGAACGAGCCTCCGTCGTCTCGGAGGCTGCCGTATTAAGATGGCTTGCTGGCAAAACTGTCGAGACGCCTCTTCTCCATGAGAAAGTTACGGAAACAGAAGGCTCGCCTTGGTCAACCTCTCCCATTGCCACTTACGAGAGTGGGACCACGAATTGTTCTGATGTCGCGGTACAAGAACTGCGGGCTTTGGTTCCAACCCTCATATCACATACGGCCGCCACGAACGAGCTGGGCCTCGAATACAATCTCGTCAAGCCAACACTAGGCACCCCCATCTCCGAACTCAGTCCACCACTCTCATCGGCCGAACGGAGAACAGTTGATTTTCAAACTGGTCAATTATATCGGCAGCTTTGTGAGCAAGTGTCACCCACTGGACGATTCGGACCTGCATTTGCTGTTCTACCTCCATGTGCGCCATCACCAGCTACAGACTCCACGAAGTCTACGAGGCGAGATGTAGCCGCGAGATTGATGGAATCAAAAGGCGTCCATTCCTGGACTGTGGCCTTCCACTCAATGTTAGAGGCAGTGCTTCGTGACGGGGAGGATATGCAAGTAATGTTGGGTTACAGTGCCATTCGACGGCAGTTCAAGCGTTTCGAGCATGTGCTGGATGGAATCAAAACACCCCGGCTGGTGGCTGTTGACGTCGGCAAAGATGTCAACACCCTTGTGTTCAGAAAACGAGGCTCCGGAGACGACGCATCTCTGGTCGAGTGCAGACCGCAGGGAAGATTTCAACACACAGACCGCCGCGGTAGTGACGCAAGTAGTGAGGTTGGCGATGAGTATGATAACGGCTCGGATTCCGGAGACGACAACGCGTCACTGACTCTCCAACACGACGATGGCATCGTCATGGCTGGCATGAAGGATTGGAGCAACTTCGTCTTTGGAGATCCACTTTTTGCTCTCAATATCGGTCGTGAGCCTAGTGGTGATTTTCTTGCGGGATTCAACTGGTCCTCAAACACTCGACACACCATCATCTCAATGTTTTCCTCGGATCTGATTGAGGACAAGGAGAGAGCTCACGTCCGCCTGCTGCTGTACGACTGCTACCATACAATCACGCACATTGCGAGAACATACTTCCGCCCGCAAAAGGACATCAGCGGACGCGAGCTGGAGGCACGAAAGAGGTTGAACACTATCCTGTCGCAGCTTGATGCTCTTGATGACGCCGGCACACGGAGGGGAAGAAGACCAAGTGGCGAATCAAGCCCGGCCAAGAAACGGTCGAAGAGCGGGGAATCGTCCGACTAGTAGAAGATGGTCGTGTATCGAAAGGTGATGCTTATGATGAACGAACATTCTTAGAACATACTTCGGGAAAGACACGTCTAGAGCCTGGCGTACGGTTGCTTCCTGGAGGAAGATGCATTCGTCGTTTAAATAAAGACTGATTAATGACCTACAAGATCTTGGACGTTTGTCTTCTTCATCGCTTCTTCTTGCCTTCCCCGGCATCGTCGTCCTCGTCTCGCGGAAGCTGAAGTCCCATCATGCCTAGAATGTTTCCAGCCGGACCCGGCATACCACCCTGACCCTTGAAGCTTTCGAGGAGGTTCTTGGCTAGATTGTAGTCAATGTCAACTTCGTCGTCTGCCTCTTCATCATCATTGCTTGATTCAGGCCCACTGCCTTTCCCCTTCCCTTTCTGGGTTAGGGCTCTGTCTCGAGGTTGGTCCAACTTTAGAGCACCGTGTTCATTGAGCTCAGCTTCCAACTCAGCGGTAAGCTTCCGAAGGTCATCTCCGTCAGGTTCCTCGTCTCGCCCAATAGCTTTAGTATTCTCTCTTGCCGCAGGCGATTTGCTTGGAACATCATGAACGTCGAGCTCTATGGGTGCTAGTCCCATCATTTCTCTCATCATGCGAGAAAATTCCGCTTCGTCAAAGCTGACCGCCTTGTCTTCGTCTTCGTCATCTTCGTCTGTCTCCATGCCCTCGGATCCGTCGTCGTCGTCGTCATCAATGTCCATTTCATCGATCTCGGCACCGTCTAGTCCTGCATTCTCATCGTTGAGAAAGGCCTCGAACCGGGAGACGATTTTGCGCAGGTCTGCTTGTGTTGTGGCATCTCCAAAGCTCGGGTTCGGTTGAGATTCGGTCCCGCCTTGGCGTCCTGAAAGCTCTCTTTCAAAGTCTTCGTAGTTGATGTCCATCCAGGACTCGTCATCATCGCGACCGGCGTCCCTCCAGCTGCGGATTTGTTCGTCTGTAGGGAGCACTGAATCTCCATCCTCCTCAAGGTCCTGTACAATAATACTAGCCGCCCTGGCTTCACGACTATCGGCCTTGTCAACATTGTTGAGCATTATTTCGAATCCACATGTGAGTTTCATGCCCATCTCCAAATGTGTGTGCTCGACCCCCTTGACTCGTTGAATAATACCAGCCCAAGGGGCAGGCGGCTCGAACCTTTGCGATCTGAGTTGGGCGAACAACACCCTGGTGAATTTGACGCTCACCGTGACAAGATCGACCGGGGGAAAAGTATGACTTTTCTTGCTGGACAGAAGAGTGTTCAGATCTAGCGCATCGCGGAGGTAGAAGGACTCCACAGCTGGTGCAACAGCCTTGGGAGTTTGGCGTAGGACATGGACAAGTCTTCGAGGAATTGTCACGAGCGAGTGGTGTATGGACTTGTGAATATGGCCAGGGTACTTTTCAAGGCGATAGAAAGCCTCAGCCTCTATGAACTCTGAGTGCAAGAGAGAGTTGGAGGTGGATTTTATAACGCGCAAAGCGTCCGATAATGCCAACAGCCGGGTTTTAGTGCCGTCTTCGGTTGTGTGAGGGATGATTCGTAGACGGCCATTGTTAATCCAAACACGGTTCTGGTCTGTCTCAGGACTCAACCATTTGGGAAGAACGTTGGCTGCCTCTATGAGGAGAAACTCCCCATCAGCGTCATAGACACGGATCCATGCAGTGGGTTGAACTTTGGAAAACTCTCTGAGGATATAGACAATCAGCCATTCGTCCTCGATCGAATCTCCGTAGTCAGTGATTCCTCGGAGAAACGAGTTGCCTGTCGGAGTCTTAGCACTCAAATCAAAAGATTGAATCATTCTGGGGGGGGGGGGGGGACGAACCTTGCTCTGTAACCACATCGAGAGTGAAGAGGCCCTTTTGCCAAATATAGTCTGCGGTCAGGGAGTTTGCAAGTTGCAGAGCAGTTTTTCGTAGATCGTCGAGTCTGGAAAGTTGCTTCAGGGGATCATTTGAGGCGTTGGCGTCAACAAGAAAAATGCTATACTCGACGCAATTTTCTCGCAGGTCGGGAGCATTCTGTTCGTGGCGGCCCCCAGCTTCTCCAGCTCCTCGTTGTGGATCAGCCATGACAAATAGCTTCGAGATACCTTGGCTGGCCAGATGAAGTTGTAAACGCGCAGAGAGCGGACAAAATTGTTGTTACTGTTGTTCTGTTGTGGCAGAGCCGTGGGTTTTAGCTCGTGATTTACTCAGTCGCAGGCAGGGCTGGTATTTTGAGTGGAGGTTGGATGACTTCTTTCAATGGAAGCCAAGCGATTTCGAAAAAATGCTCGAGAATTCTTGAGGACCTTCGCATTAAATTCGTAATTGCACATAAGTAGGCCCTTAGTCTGGAGTGTGCAGGCTTGCCTTGCCTGTATTGTTCACCTCGATCTATCTATCTGATAGAGCTCTTTCGATGGTAACTGCATCCCAGACCTTCAAGACTATTGGTGCTGGAACACCTGCCTACGGCAAAGAGAGTCGTAGTCGCCCAGAAGAGCGCCCCACCAAAGCCCCGGTCACCTACCTTACCTTCAGGTGCCTTAGCACAGTGACTTTGATAAATGTCTGCCCGGAGCACTGTACGCGTTAAGTGCTCGATTAATGGAAGGTGCAGGCAGACATACCTTCCAGGTTAACTTACCTTACCTTACCTCAGCCCCCACCGCGGATAACCACACAGTCGCGTTCCGTCATCCGACGCGTCGCACGAAGCTTTCGTGGTCATTCAATCTGGAAGGCTACAGCCCAAGTTATCCAACGACAGGTCCCCAAAATCTGCGTCCACCTTTGTTAACACCAAGTGCGATAGGCGCACTGAATTTCTACTACCCGACGTCGCAAAATCTCAACGCAGGCGCATCTTCTGGGCTACTCGTCATGGCCCCCGCTAAGAGATCCCACGCCGTCTCGGAAGCAGGCAGCGGAGACGAGGAGGAGGAGCTGGTTGAGGTGCGGCAAAAAAGCTCCAACCTCGCTCAGGACGCACCCGTAGGTTTCTCCAAGAATGTGAGTTCAGAATATTACCTATGAGATCAACTGACACTTCTGGAATTCTGCAGTCAAAGCGGGTTCGACTATCAAACACTGCTCAGCCGACCAAGTCGGTACCCCCAAGGGATGAATCCCCAAGCTCCGGAAGCGAAGACGTTGCGGACGAAGAAGAGGAAGACGGACGAGCCGGCCGTGAATCGCCTCCCCGAACCCAATACGAAATCGCCCGGGACGATGGTTTCAGGCACTTGCAGTACGAGGATCAAGACGATCAACGTGCTACGCAGAAAATCAAAAGCCGGCCGCAGCGCATCGGCGACAACCATGCTGCCGAGAACGGCATTATTGAGAGTGTCGAGTGCATCAACTTCATGTGCCACGAGCGCCTCTTTGTCGAGCTCGGTCCCCTGATCAATTTCATCGTCGGCGAGAATGGAAGTGGCAAGAGTGCAGTCCTCACAGCCCTAACCTTGTGTCTTGGTGGCAAGGCTAGCTCCACCAACAGAGGCGGAAGTCTCAAGAGCTTCATCAAGGAAGGGAGAGACAATTCTGTCATCATTGTGAGGATCAAGAACCAGGGCATTGACGCCTACCAGCCCGATCTGTACGGCGAAACCATCAGAGTCGAACGCCATTTCTCCAGGGCTGGCGCCAGTGGCTTCAAGCTGAAGAGCGTGACTGGGAAAACAATTTCTACAAAGAAGGCCGACGTTGATGAGATCTCCGAGTATTGGGCTTTGCAGGTCGACAATCCACTCAACGTTCTATCGCAGGACAATGCCCGACAATTTCTGAATTCTTCGTCACCCTCTATGAAGTACAAGTTTTTTGTTCGAGGTGTCCAGCTCGAACAGCTTGACAACGACTACAAACTCCTAACGGAAATTCTCGAGAGTCACGAAGCAAAGCTACCGAGCCTAGAGGAACATGTCCGTCGTGCGAAGAGAGAGCATTCGGAGGCGCAGAAGCTCAAGGACATTGCTCAGAAGAACGAAGAAATGAGAAAGACATATCGCCGTCTCCGTAACCAGCTTTACTGGTCACAGGTAGCTGAGCAAGAAGATGTGCTCGTCAAGTACAACGATGAGGTCGCTGCTCTGGACGGGGAAATTCAACGCGCTACTGTGCTCATTGAGCGCACAACACAGGCTTTAAGTCAGCGCGATGAGCACCTTGAGCGTGCTCAAGGTGCAGTCGAGACGGAATCACAGGAAGCCGGTACTATTCAGGAAAGTATCGCCCTCGCCGACGAAGCGTACCAAGAGGCCAAGCAATCAGTCACCGACATACACCATCAACTCAGAGATGTTCAACAACGGCTCAAAAGCGCCGGACAAGGGGTGGCTGAGTTTGAGACCAAGATTGAAGCCGAGGAGCAGCGACTGGGCGCTGGAGCTGGGAGCGCCCGCCAGGAACAAGAGAGTCTTCTGAATGAAGCAAGAACAGAAGAGTCTACAATTAAACAACAAATCGCCGACGAGAATGACACAGTGCCGCAACTCAGGGCAGAGCTCAATCATGCCCAGAGCGCCTTACAAGGGGGCAAGGCCGATGTCGATAGGAAGAGGGCGGAAATTACCTCAGCCGAGGGACGTTTGCGCAGCCTGGAGCAGAACAGAGGCTCTGTTTGGGCTGCTTATGATAAGAAGATACCTCTCCTTCTTCAAGCGATCGAGCGAGAAAACGGGTTCCACGAAAAGCCCGTTGGGCCCATTGGAGCCCATGTTCAGCTCACTCAACCTGAGTGGTCCCCAATTTTGGAGACGGTCTTTGGCGCAACGCTGGATGGCTTCCTTGTATCCAACAAGTCTGACCAACAACGACTGACAAAACTCATGCAACAAGTCAACTTGCAGCGCTTTCCCCCAATCATCATCAGCAAACGGCTGCCACTCAACACCAAACTCAGGGAGCCGGACGCAGCCTTTGACACTGTTCTCCGGGTACTCAATTTCGACAATGAATGGGTCCGCAGTCAGCTCATTGTGGCACACACTATCGACAAAATCGTTCTGATAAGAGAGAGGACGAAGGCAGAAGATGTCATGATGAGCGATTCACCTCCTCCAAACGTCCAAGCTTGTATTTCTCTCCATGATGGCGCTGGTAAGAGAGGTTTCGGCCTTCGCATGGCCCGGTCAAGCGGTGCAGGATATAACACAGGAACCATCAACCCCTTCCCCCGGGCGCCTAGGATGAAGTCTGACGACCAAACACAAATCAGTCTGGCAAAGGAATCGTTGGCTCATCTACGTGGGGACTTACGCTCGATAGAGCTGAAGCGGCGGGAGCTCGACCAGACAGTCGCAAAATGCAACGCCGCTCTCAATAACCAGCAACAACAGGGGCAATCGCTGGAGCGGAAGTTGTTGCGGGTCCAGGCCAGAATTGAGAATATCTCTGCTGAACTGGACCAATACGAAGGAGCGGATGGTCGCCTTATCTCTCTCCGGGAAGAGTTGGAGAAGATTAAGGCTGAACGAGAGCATCACGGAACCCAATATGGCGAAATGCGACTGCGACAAGATGAACTCAATAAGAAATGCGAAGAGTGCAAGAGGACGCTTGCCGATGAGAAGGGGAGAATGAAAGATTTTCAGGCTCGAATCACGAAGTTGCAACTCGCAGTCCAGAAAGCGGAAGACCTGCGCAAAATGGCAGTTCTCGAAAAGAATCGCGCGTTCCAGGACCGTGATGATGCGGTGCTTGAGAGAGAACGAGCAGAAACGAGGCGTGACGAACAAGCCGAAGTGGTCGCCAACTTCACTCAACAAGCCATGGACAAGGCGCCGCAGCGAGTGTACATCGAGGAAGGCGAAACTCATAGGAGTATCGAGAGCAAGTACGCTGTTATTCACCAACAGCTGGAGAAGAGGGCTCAAAGATTGGGGGCGTCGGACGAGGAGATCAAGGAACGTGCGGCTAGGGCTGAAGCTGCATATGAAGCTTCACAGCAACTTTATAAGGGCCAGCAGGAAGAGCAGGCGGCAGGCAAGCTCAATCTGGAAGATCGACTGAACAGGTGGCGACTGTTCCAGCGACATATCTCGGCACGTGCTCGCATCTGCTTCCAGTACTTGTTGAGCGAGCGAGGTTTCAGGGGCAAGCTTGCCATAGACCACCCGCAGCGCCGGCTGCAACTTTTCGTGGAACCAGATGAAACCCGCAAGGGCACTGCTGGCCGGAGCACAAAGACGTTGTCAGGTGGTGAAAAATCATTCTCATCTATATGCATGCTGCTGGCCATTTGGGAGGCAATGGGCTCACCCCTGCGATGTCTGGACGAATTTGACGTGTTCATGGATAATGTCAACCGTACCATCAGCACAAACATGCTTGTAAGTCTGATTTCCAGTCGTGTAATTTTCGTATAATTGTATCTACTATGCTAACAAGAACCCCTTTCTTTTCAGATCACCGCTGCTAGACGCTCCGTATCCCGTCAGTACATCATGATTACACCAAATGCGATTGAAGGACGAGCCACGCTTGACAAGGACGTCAAGATCATCCGGTGCGTTGTTCTACATTGGAGGACAACCCTCGCTTTGCTCCTCTTTGAATTGCGGCTAACACATGTAACAGTTTAACCGATCCCCGGCAGCGGACGTTGGTTTGATGCCACGGCTGGCTAATTTCGTTCACAATTCCATGAGCAACGGCGTTCAACTTAATCAGTTTTCGTTTATCAAAAAGCGCGGGTGAAGGGACAAGTGATTTCTTGGCAGTGACAGGCGTTTGGGCAACATACCCCCCCTCATAGTCATGGACATGGGCTCATCTACCTAAGTTAGGACGTGTCGGCTCAGCATTGAGTGAGATGGCTGGCTGGAAGGGCGTCAGGGACATCATCAGCGAGCAACAAAGTCCGCGTACTAGAAACAATAATATACAATAGCATACATAGCGAGACCTGGGCCTCGGTATTTCCTGTTATACACATGTCGTTGCCGCTGAGGAGGCCTAGATTCGAATCCCCTTGCTCCTCAGAACATTGACACCCGCGCTAGCTGTGAAACCAACCCACTGTCCGAGAGAACCCATAACACCACCAGCTTCCTTGACCTCACTCAGTCGCCGCCGCAGGAAGGCTCTGGTGTCTTTGAAACCGGCCGACTTGTCGTTGGTCATGAACAGCTCGCTCGACGCGTAGATCATGGACAGGCTGGCGCGCTTGGTATACCAAGAGGGGTCGACGGCAGTGTCGCCGGAAAGGAACCAGATCTCATCGACCAACTTGGCGAGTTCCTTGAGGGAAGCAGGCACATAGCTCGGTTGTGCCATAACCGCCAGGGCCTATTGCATCCATCATAAGTATCAAGCCAGAACAGTCTCCCAAGCAGACTCTAGAAAGGGGTTGTACTCACCTCTTGCCAACGGTCGATGACGGTCTTATTCTCTAAAAGCCGCTCCCAGGTGAGGAGTTCTACTTTTTCACTGATACCAACTTGCGAGCTCTCTCCGAACACCTCCTTCTCCTTGTTGGCCAGGCCTTCACGTTTTGTGACGAGGTGGTATCGAATCAAGCTGAAAGGACCGTCCGGCAGCACGCTGGTGCTGATGTCAAGGTATCCAGTATCCCTGGCGCCGAGGGCGAGGGCCTTTTGTGAGAAGCCATACTCTGGGACATGCTTATACGCGGCGGAGAGGATCGTCGATTCGTGGGGGTGGAAGGTTGTTGTCGGATCCGGGTGGTCGTAGGAATGGTAGGCACGAGTCGTCCGAGGCGCGACTGCGGAAGCTCTCGGACATTGGCACAGGGAGCGGAAAGCCAACCTGGCAGTCGGACGGCAAGGAACGGACATGACGACGGGGGAGGAGGAGGCGGGCTCTTTGACATACGGGTATTGCAAGCCTGTGGTTTCTACGAAAGTTGGCTGATTCTAGACTGGCTTCCTTTTTTTTTTTTTTTTTTTTTTGCCCGTCCCTCTCCTAGGCTCAGCCATCCCGAACTGTTCGGGTGAACCCGCCCGGGCGACATACCTGCACGCACTGGCTCTTCGGATCGGCCAATTGCTCCAGGGATTAAGCTAAGCCCCCCCTGTACCTCACCCTATGCCTTTGAGTCGGCATACTTCAATGACGATAATTAATCATTCACCAACACCAAGCTAAAAGATTAACAAAACATAGTCTATGAATCCAGAGCAGTAAGTATCATCGAAGAACATGGAAGGCTGGGAAGAATACATATTGAAGCCTCTCTATCGGTGCCTAATTGTGGAAGTAGTCGAATAGGTAAGAAAACCACACTTGGGTTGCTCTCAGTACGGACAACTAAGCGGCAACCTACCTTACCTAGTAGTAACTGCGGTACGCCTCATTTTTCTCACCATGGTAACACAGCATCTGCGCCAATATGATGGTCCATTCAAGCAACTGGACTGACTGGATTGGTTTCCAGATGCTGAGATTCAGGTCACATTTACGCACCCACGTCAATGTGATCATTTGAACACTATATAACACGCCCCTTCAAGTTGTAAATGGCCCGATCTACTTACCTTATGTGCACGGTATCAGCAGGCTGTGTTTGCGTCTTGGTGAACCATATGTCGCAGCCAACACCGAAAACGTATAGGCACGAATAAGTAACACCTAGTCCACCACATCAACGGGCCGAGGAAATGCATTGATACTGATAGGTAAGGTCGTCTTAGGGTGGGAAACAGAGCGGAACGGTTGAGGTACTAAGGTAGTCGCCGGCGAGCTGATGGAATGTCCATCAGTGGCTAGGAGCTGCAGTGCTGCACAGTTAGACGTGCTTTGCGATCCACATTCGGGCCAAGGCTCTCCTGCCGGCTTTGTCAAAAACACCCAACGGACCGTGCTTGTTACATGGTGTCATGATTCAACCCGTTGTGGAAGACTGGATACCGACTCTCAGCAGAGGCTGCAGAGCCACCGCGATGGCCCTCAAGGTTGCGACTGGACAGGGAGGATAGTCCTGGAGACGTGACACCTTGGTAGACAGAGTGGGGAAGTACCTTGAGGTAGGCAAGCAGGCACTTAGCGTAGGTATCTTCCATTAACATCAAGGTCCTTTGGCCGTGCCATGCCTCAAACCGCGATGCTGTCGAGTTTTTCGACTCTTTGGCAATTCATGTACTTACCTACCTTACGCGCGAGGCAGCCTGTAGGGCTGGCTGAGATTTACTCTGGGGATAAAGCAAACGAAGTGAAACGGCTGTCAAATGCCTTCCATCTGCATGGTCTGTGGCTGGTGGTGCTTTATTGGCATCCGTAGATAGATGCTAGTAGTATGGTAACTTGACAATGGTAGATTTGGCGTCGAGTGTCGGGAAATATCCATTTCTGCCACCATTCGGGACCGTCAGACCTCACTACTACTGTGCAATAGCAGGTACTCATGGAGGGGTGAAAAGGTTGGGGGGGGGGGGGGTGTTAGCTCAGTTGCTGTGTGCTCTGTAGTGTATCAGTCGATGTTACCTTGCCGTACCCGGGTAGGTACTCCGTAGATGGTAGGTAGCTGCAGCAAGCTGCCAGAGTGAAGAGCACGATGCTAGGCAGTATTCGTACTTTAATGAATTGGATGATTCTCTCTACCAACATGATTCGCCATCTGAGGGTGCTGGAGCTCCGCCATCTGCTGTGCCTGTTCAGTGTTCACATTAATTACATGATTACCTGCAGCTCGTCTCCACAGGCACAGCTCACCAATGGCCAATGAACGTGAAAAAGCTCGTACTGCAGGAGAGTCGTCGGGTTATGCACGGATCAGGATGGGAGCTACGGGCGCAACGTCGAATCCAGAGTGAGTACTCCGTACCTACTGTAGAGAAAGTCCAAGAAGTTTAGGTACCTTGATTATCCCTTCTTGACGACGCGACACTAAGGTAGGTACTGCGTAGTGAATCTTACACTAACGTACCTGAGCACCTAACGAGGTAAGCAATGCCACTGTTTAACTCCATCGTTTTGTATTACTAGAGGATTGCCGCAGTATATGTAGACGCTACCCTGCCCTCGAATTCCGCACTGTTCAACCTCAACCCTTTTTACAAGTTACCCATCCTTTCCTCCATTCTACCCTCTCCCTCGTCAAGGGATCGCTAGAATCGCAGTTTCAATAGCTTATTAGTAAGCTAGTATTACTATCTAGAGGTAAGTAACCCACTCTTATGCGTAGGCGCCGGGAGTCTTACTATTGCGGAGATAGTAGTGGATGTACCGGAGTACTCGAGAGAGCTTTTTAATGGACTTCTAATGCTATCTAAGGCGATTATCCTCGAGCTGTAGGAGGAAGCCGAGGCGCTATATCGTCGGCGAGGATTCTAGCGTTATCCACCAGGTGTTTTATTAAGGTCGTCATCGTGGGGTTGGTTTAGTTGTTAGTATCTTGGTAAGCATTTCAACTCAGTATACTCGGAGGCTCTTATAGCTCTTGATAAGAGGCTTTTAAGGGACTTATAATTAGACTTTTTGCCTATTATGGGCGAAGCTATCACGGTTAAAGCTATAGCGATTAAAGCTATAGCACTACTTGCGGACCTCGATAGTAAGTAGTTAGTAATATAGTTATCTTTCTCTTATAGCAAGCTTAAAAAAGTATCTTAATTCAAGTGCTAGGTAGGCACTACACTATTTTATTAAAACTATATTCTTGTACTTATGACTCAGAAAGAATTAACTTTCTTCGATAACAAGGTACTTAGAGGTAAGCAATGCGTGGTGTATCCGTAACTAGGTACAGGTAGGCGGGACAGGTGAATATCATGAGATCCGATACCTGAGGTGCTTAGGTAGTCGCCAACGCCGTATTCTCACACTTCACCTGCTTTGCTTGTATCATCTTTTACGGCGTAGGTGAGGTAGGTAGGCACCTTGCCCTTGGATAGGTAGGTAGGTCTTTGCATGTACGTACTATGTAGTAATTATGGCAAGGAAAGGTGTCGAGCTTGACCACCAACAATGATGGGTGCCTGATGGTGCCTGGCGCTCTTCGAGCCTGCCTTCCCTCTTCAGCTCCCGAGCTTCTAATTGGCTGCATTCGCGCTGAGAGGTGGCCTCGCCCAGGCTTGTTGCCCATATCACTCCGTACCTCAGTACTCGTACCTACCTTAGGTAGGTACCGTGTCTGCCGTGCATTTCGCCCTTTTTTTTCTTTTTTTCTTTTTTCCTCAGCAGACCGGAAAGGCACAACATCCTCCGTGCCTCTTTACCTTCCTTACCTTACCTTACCTTCCCTCGCCAAAAAGTTCCCCATCCATCGATCCAGTGCTCAATACAGTTGGGCACTGTCGTCCTTCCATTGGCATCATCACGCCTTCCTCAGCAAACCCACTTCACCTCTGTCAGTTACCATCTTCAGCATTGGATAAACCACCTTACCTTGGAGCCCGAATACTGACCGAGGTCTACCTTGCTCTACCTAGGCAGCTAGCTACCTCACCGACCTTACCTTAGCTCACGGCCAGGTAGCTCACCTCAGGTAAGCAATCTACCTTTCCTCAGCTCCAGTCGCCAACAATATCGTCTGGATCCAAGCATCCAAGGGACTAGTGACGCCGCCCCCACGCGAGCGCCACAGTTTCCGAAGCCGCGTCGTTGAGGTTCTTCCGACCCAGCTCGTGTCGAATCACTCCGTTCCGTTTTGCT